CTTTTAACTTCCAATTTATTTTAACTCTATTAATATAAATAATTAGTGCCTAGATTAGTGTTGTAAATTAAGCCTCTGCCATAAAATCTTGACTTCCAAATAAATTAGTTTAGGATTTTATAAAATACAAAAGTCATTTATTTAATTGTTTTAGCCACTAGGTTAATTACTTTTGAGCATTTAGACATGTTTTAATGGTTTGGTTTCTCCACCAATATTTATTATGAATTACGTGCTACATTTAGAATAATTTAGTTTTGACTTTTGTAAACTCTTCTAGTTTTACTTTATTTCAAATTTGAATTTGAACGCGTTTTGAATCATCGCGAGATTATCAACAGTAATCGTGGTGACATGGCAACATTAGTAGAGGGTTACTGTAGCTTAATTATCCGGGCGTCACAGAGAGAATCATCTGCAAAAAGAAGATGAGAGCTGGATGGTGCTTTACGACACACTTTAATACCTTCCAGTCCACCCACCTCTTCCTCATGCGCCAACATGCTTGATAATCCTTCTAAACATAACAGAAATAAATAAGGGGTCTCCTTGCCTCAAACCTCTAGTGGGTAATATATCTTCAATTTCTGTACCATTAAACCTTATCTTATACCTTACCGAAGAGACACATTCCATGATCATCTCTATCCAACCTGGATCAAATCCAAGTTTTAACATCATTTTCCTTAGAAAACCCCACTCCACACGATCATACGCCTTCACCATGTCCAATTTGATAGCACAATACCCATTAGAGCCATGGTTTTTTTTCTTTATTGCATGGAAGCATCCATATGCAATTAGCACATTATCTGTTATAAGTCTCCCTGGCACAAAAACACTTTGTGTGGGGGATATAATCTCAGGGAGTACTTTCTTCAACCTGTTTGCATGCATATTTGAAATAATTTTATAAATCACATTGCAAAGACTTATAGGCCTGAACTGTGTGATTACCTCTGAACTATCCACCTTTGGTATTAGCACAATATTTGTGTGATTCCATTCTTCTGGTATCTTTCTCATGTGTATTGCTTCCAAGACCTCATCAGTGAGCTCCTCCCCCAAGATATGCCAAAATCTCTTATAAAAGACTGCATGTAGCCCGTCCGGACCAGGTGCTTTCATGTCCCCGATTTGGAATAGTGCCTTTCGGACCTCTTCCCGGGTATATGTTGCTGTTAGCAAGCTATTCATCTCAGGTGTAACACGTGGTTTCACTGCCTGCAACAATTGCTGATCACATTCGGCACCATTAGAATGAAAAAGTCCATCAAAATAATCACGAACCAGTGGACTAAGGTTATCATTACCCTCAGTCCACCCATTATTATTATTACGAAGCCATTTAATCATATTTCTCCTTCTCCTCGCTGAGGCAAATTGATTAAAATATTGTGTATTATGATCGCCTTTCCGTAGCCATCTAACTCTACCTTGCTGGGCCCAAAAAATTTCTTCTTGGTCCAATTTTTTTATGAGGATCGAGAGTTCTTTTTGCTTTGCCCTGACCTCCTCCGTATATGGTGCCTGCATGAGTATCTCCAGCTTCTTCTGAGCTTTATTGAGTCGGGCTCGAGGCCCTTTCAGCGTTTTCCTATCCCAATCATGCTGATCGAGGTGAACTGAATCAATTTTCCCTTTCACAGTAGGGTGTAAGCCTTGGTGAACGGCCTTCTGCCAGGATGTCCTTACCGCTTATTCAACAATTTCCTCTTGTAACCATCGGTCTATTCTCTGCTACACCAGAGAGATATTCTGTATCTAACAAGATGGGTCGATGATCAGATTTTCCCATCTCCAGGTTGCACAAGCCTGCATACGGGTGCATGCCCATCCATTCAACGTTTGTAACAACTCTGTCTAAGCTTTCCTTCAGTCTGCCTATAAACCATGCGAACTTATCGCCAACATACCCATATCCTCTAAGGAGCAGTCAGAAAGAGCATCTTGGAACGTTGCCAGATAGGATTGATGTCGTGGCACCCCACCCTCCTTCTCAGAGGACAGCAAGATCTCGTTGAAGTCACCAATGATGACCCACGATAGCCTAGAGTGTGCATGCAGGTCTCGGATGTACTGATAAGTGCGGTCCTTGTGCTCCCAGCTAGTCTCTCCGTAGATTCCAGTCAACCTCCATATGTTTCCATTTGTTTCATGCACATTCACATCAATTCCCGCAAGAGTGGTGGTTTGGGAGTAGATCATCACCTCCTTCTTCCAAACCATCAAGAGCCCACCCTTTCTGCCATCCATGCTTGGTGCAACTATTCTTTCATCCATGCCAAGTTTCCTCATTAGCGCTTCTGCCTTATCATCATCCAAGTGTGTTTCAGACAGAAAAAACACATCGGGTTTATGCCGCCTCTGGAACTCCAGAAGCGACTGAACTGTCAGGGCGCCTAAGATGCCCCGACAGTTCCAGCTTATAATCTTCATTGGCCCCGGCGATCACCCTCAAGGGGTATCGCCGATTCATCAGTTGGTAGGCTAGCTGCAGCTGATGTCGCCCTCAGCCTCTTAGGATCGTGAATCTTTTCTGGTGTACTCATCTGGCTCTTCTCCACTATTGCACTTTTCCCAGCTTTGAGCAGCCCAACTTTCTCATTGACAAATCCCGGTGGTGGAGTTAAGCCATCCCTCCCACCATGTTGTAGCACCACTCCATCTTGACCAATAAGCCTTTTTTGCCATCGGGACAACAGCCCCCTGGTTACTCGACCTCCCATGATCTAGCTCCATATCATTATTTTCTTCAGAATTTGGGTCACCCGAGTTACCTCTTCCTCTTCCCAGATCATCCCTCTCCCTAGGTCTTCCCATGTTTGTCCTTCCTCTACCACTGCCAGATCCACCAGAGGGGCCATCAAAGTTCACCAGAAGCCAATCTCCCCACTCGCAATCCTCTGCCTTGTGCATGCCATCCCCGCATTCAGTTACCAGATGTCCGATCAGGCCACAAAAATCACAGAAATCAGGCAGATTTTCGTATTCAACATGGTACCTTTTACTCTCCTTCAACGTCAGCAGAACAAACCGAACAATGGGGGTGTCCAGCATTATGTGCACTCGGGCTCTCAAGTATTTTGCTGGGTTGATACGACCCTCATTGACAACAACTTTGATAGGGGGATGCCCACCTTCCTGGCTATTTTCTCAGCAATCTCTGTTTTCTTCATGAGGCCATCCGATATGCCAATTATGCGTGCCCAGACCGCAATCCGATCTAGTTTGTACTCCTCTACATTCGTCAATCCATCATATTCTTCCGGCACTACCGCGGCGTTTCTGAACAGCCATGGGCCGCTGTTCATAACGCGATTCCAATCGCCCAAGCACATGAATGGGCAAGGAAGATGTTTGGTTTCTTATCCTTAAAGATCACTCCCTGCGTCGGTGACCAGGCGTTCCTCATCTCCTTATACAAAGCGACATGACTGAAGGGTTTGGACGTATAAACCCTAAAAATTGCAATCCAACGTGTTTCTTCTATTAATCCTTCAATCTCTCCTGACAGATCCAGATCCTCTTCTTCCTCTTCATGGAGGTTCAACCCTGAAAACCTATCTTCTAGATTTGCATATGTTCCTCGCGCATCGCGCCCACCTCCACTTCCTGACGCATCGCCCGCCGGCGCCTTTCCAATCCCTCTTCCCGCCATGCAGTCCGTCAAGGGGAGCCAATGGCTATCTGGGATCACGCACAGATCGTCGCGGAGAGTCCGTCCGTGAGAATTTGGTGTAGATGTGATATATGTGGAACCCTAGCGGCGCGCCGCACGGGGATAGGTGGAACCCTAGCTACCTATGGGAATCGTATGCCGGCGAATAGTTAGTCCGCCTTCTAACTGCATTTTCCCTCTCGTTAGTGCACGCTTAGGTCTGATATTATTTACATCTTGCGTCAAATACAATCCCTGGCAGATATTGAGTAGTGGTTAAGTTCTCCCAACACATAGTGGGCCCTAAAGGTTGGCCATTATTACTAACAGTATGTGTGCCCTCGTTTCTACAGTTCTATCGTTAGTTATCGTGTCGTTAGGTACTTGTACCGGCAGTTAAAAATGTCCCAACAGAAAAACCTTTTTCAGGCATTTCTATCAATAGTTAATTATCCTTAATTAAGTGTTGTGGCGTAGTGCACCCGCTTCCATGACGGCAACGACAACCTAAGTGACTCCAACTCCAGCTCGTCAACATTTCGGCCCTAACATCGCCACGCTGCCACAACCATACCATGGTTGTCGATGCTTCTCCATCTCCCTCTTAGCCTGGGTCTGGGAACGGACAAGGGGAATGAGAGGAATTGCTTGGCAAGTGGGTGAGGGTCGTTGTGTCATTGTGTGGGCAAATCGACGTTTGACGTTCACATGGTTCGCTTAGTGAGCAAATGGTTCCACGGGTGTGATGTGGCGCCAACCTTGCGCCAAGATCCATGCCGCGCCATCAGACGGAGTATGTTGTAATCTTACAAAAAATCAATCGCCGAAAATCTTCATCCATCATGATCCAACAAAGAAATTGCACTTTTCAGAAAAACATTGACAAGAGAACAAACGTTAATTACATATACGAGAGAAAACTCCGGAATAATCAACTTCCCGAGCAAAGCCTAAACATAAACCAAAAGCCGCTGTTGACAACTATCCAAATCATTCCCCACATAAAATAAACAGATCACATCACGACTTTACAGTTTCTTTTCACAAACACCATGGGCTGTTCAGCTGAGTTCCTTCTCTCCGAGCAGAGCTCTCATCTCATTTCTCTTGCGGACACCAACCCGGACACGCCACAGATTGAGAGCAGAGTCTGGCGCCAGAGACGCCAAGAACCACTGGACGGAGTGGCGCCAGTAGGGGACGCATCTCGGCTCGTAGCCAATGCAGCGAATGGCAGCTTTGACGTACTCCTCGGGCGATGGTATGAACGGAGAGTGGCCCTTAACAGGCGACATCTTGGTGGCCACGTACAAAGGAATCTGCAGTGCATCACACTAATCTGTGACTTACTAGGATATTTCAATTCAATTCCAAAGTGCGTTTATTCTGTCTTCTGTGACACCGAGTACAGAATTACTTGGTGATCCATGAAGTTTGTGTGCATTTCACTAGTCGACGCAAACTATTTCGGATTTCTATGTAAAGATGAAGAGGAGACTGCATGCATGCATACCTGGCATTGGACATCCACTCCGTACTGTTTGTATTCGACGCTTAGACTCCGAGATACTCCCTCCGTCCGGGTTTATTAGGCCTCTCAGCATCACAAGCATGTCCCCTTTTATAAGGCCCCGCTTTGGAAAGGTGCATGCATGCAACCATTTCATTGGTTGCATTGAAAGCCATTGTTGTTGGTGTCATGGCTGGAAAATTAATACACTTGTGCTTTTTCATTGGTTGTATGCATGTGAGAGAGTGCATTGAAAGTGGAATGAAAAAATTAATATGGGCAAATTACTACTATATATCTTGGTCTAAGAGAAGTTGTCTTTAGGCCTAATAAACCCGGACGGAGGGAGTAGTTGATCAATATACCTAACAGGGTGGCCAAATGTAGAAATTAGAAATAGCAACACGTAATGCTGAATCTCACCCTCCTCGTGCTAAAAGCAAAGTTCATATTAGAGATGTACCCAATAGAACACATATCAAAAACGGTGTGCATCACCATGGACTGTTCAACATCATCGGTTGATGGTTGTGCGCATCGACCGAAGCAGAGGCCGAAAGATTATCCTATATTTAAAATAGAATTATGGGTAGTTCGGTGTCATCACATCAAATTTTCTCCGATTTTGGAACTATGAGTTCAAAGTATTTAATTCGGGAGCGAGAAACTGGCTTTACTGTACATAAATGATACGTAGTATTTAATTTGAATACTATTTCTACAAAATACCGATATAAACTTCAGATGTTTTATTTTCAAACGTTATAATTTTTGTGTTATATAGTTTATATTAGGATGATAAAATTGACAATCTAAATATACGCGTAGGATTTGTAAACTGAAACAGAGGGAGTATCCGTTTGCTCCACTGATTACGGCGTGCGTTGTTTATTGAAAGAACCATAATCTTCCCATCATCCATGGCCATATTAGGTGTGCATTAATATGCCTTGTGTGCTTGGGCCCGGTGGTAGATGTACCAAACATAGTACTATTTTTTTAAAAAAATTCCAAACATATTACTATTGGCTGATCCACTATTGTCCAAGCTGCTTTTATTCGACCAATCGGTAGTGCAAATATGATGGTAGTACTACTATGTTTAGCATAGGACTACCATGCACTGAACCTTTTTTTTTTTCTCTCGGAGAGCGCCAAACTTGACTTAGTTTCACCAAAGGTTACCAGCACATAAAAGAAATGTCGATTAAAAGGTGTCTGCCAAACAATGTACTCCCTCCATTTCTAAATATAAGTTTTTTTAGAATTTTAATATAGAATACATACAGATCAAAATGAGTAATCTACACTGCAAAGTAGATCTATATACACTCGTATTTTAGTTCGTATTGAAATCTCTAAAAAAAATATATTTAGTAACGGAGGGAGTAGATTTGAAGGGAACATGTGTGGAACGTAACACAGAAAAACATCAAAGTCTAGGAAGTTATTTTTTCTTAAAACAAAACTAAATAATCGTAATTCACACACAAACCAACAAAAACACAATTCAGGTTATGCAAAAGTAGTGATATGTTTAGTATCTGCATATAACGATAGGAGAAACACCGGAGATTCATCATAATATAAAAGATAATGCATAAAGTTATGGTTTTTCGAAGTCTCAATCAACCGAGATCTTCTCAATCAATTTAATTAAAAAATGCAACTCCACTGAACTGAAGTTGTGCTTTTCTAAATCAACCGAGACTTAAGAAAATCTCAACGAAGACATAGACTTGCAAAAGTTAATCAATAAGATATTTTACTGGTGTTATGAACAGTTGCCATCTAATATGATTTGGTTACTAGAAGTATTTTAAAAAGTAATGATCAGATGAACTGTAGAAATGGAATCAATTGATTCCGTCGATTAAGTAGGCCACGTGGACAGAAGATTAGACCCCCAAAAAACAAAACCACATGGGGACACATGTTGGAGCCCTGTAGCCTGAAACATATTTAACATATCATTATACTCACAACAAACAGTAACTAAGAGCATGTCTAACAGAGCCCTCAAACTGGTCAAACCCTCAAAATAATTGCCAGTTTGAGGATTGGGCCAAAAAAAAGACGTAGATCAGTACCCTCAAATCCCTAAACCCTCAAAAAAAAATTTCAGACCGAACCCTCAAGTTTGAGGCCAACCTGCACTAGTGAGGGTTGGAGGGCAATTTCCAGGGCCAACCCTCACTTGATCAATGAGCTGCGCGGGAATGAAATTTCCCCAATTGCCTCTCACCACTGCGCCGCCGCCGGCAACGGCCCCCGCGCCAACACCGGCGCCCGCCCCCGCCCCGCGCCTCCCGCCCCCGACCACCTCGAGCGACGCCGGCGTCGCGGAGATGGTGGCGGCCACCCACGTCGGCCAAAAACAGTGGCGGTCGGGCACCCACGTCGATGAACAACGACGCATTCCGGCGGTGAGCAGTACACGACGTTGATGAAGACAGAGACGATTCCCTCGCTCCCGAGCGTCCCGGCTCGATTCCCTTCGTGCAGACGAAAAGGACGACGAGACAGAGATTTTGAGGGTTGGTTTGAGAGCACTGATCCGCGCCAAGGATTTTCAGCCTTTAAAACGACATTTTCTCAGCCCTCAAACTGGTTTTGAAGGTTGAGTTTTTAAAGGCTCTGTTAGACATGCTCTAAGCATTTTGCAAAACGAAACGCTATGAAAGTTTCAGGCTACAGGGCTACTGCATGGAAGTTTTTACTAATATATCATTAAAATTGAGATCTTAAGAGCAACTCGAACAGTGTGCATCAAAATGCCTCTAAACCTCCGAATCTCATTGGTTCAGCCACTTTTTGCCTTGCAACGGTTTGCATCAAACGTCTGGATCAGTTCAGACACCTGAATTTTCACAAATCAGAACTAAACATGAGGAACTATGGGGTGTCTAGACAATCCGCTTGGCTCACTATCAGTTGGATCATGTGTCCTCACATTTTATGTGTTTTTTTAGATCTGTCTGACTCACCCTACTATTGGGATTTGATGCCTATTTAATGTGTTCAGCTGGATGACCCTGTCATATCACACACATACTGTACATCCTTCTAGTTCTCTGCTGCCACTGCCAGAATATTTTATACGTCTCGTTGGAATGGCACACTACAGTGCCGAGCAATTGTAGCCGGCAAGGCAACGCTTGAACGGAGGGGCAGTGCAAGCACGATCGGGGCCTCGCAGGCTGCCGTCGCCAAGTGGAGAGGTAGAGGTATCCCCCCACACACGTGTGGACCCAGAACCTACTACGCAAAGATGGATCTGCATGAGTCATCGTACTTACGCTTTGCTTGCCACGTACACGGCGTAGAGCGGGAACGCCGGCACCACCACGGACGACCCCGACCCGACGTTGACGATGGCGCCCCTCCCCTTGCCCGCCATCGCGGGCACGACGGCGCGCGAGATCCGCGTGGCCGCCTCCACGTTCACCCGCACCACGGCCTCCCACACCGGGGTCTCCACCTCGTGGAAGTAGGCCGCGCAAGGGTACGTCGCGCCGGCGTTGTTCACCAGGAGGCCCACGTCGAGCCCCTTCACGGCCACCGCCACCCTCGCCGCGCCCAGCGACAGCTCCGTCACGTCGCCGGCGAGGTCGAACACCACGCTCTTGACCATGCAGGACGGCGCCGCATCCTTCGCCTCCTTGCTGACGCGGGACAGCTTGGCGGGGTTCCGGCCTGTAAGACAATAAGTTTTGGGGAACCAGCACAACCCTTTAGGGGTGGCTTATCTCATTATATATAATGGTTGTGTTACAATATGTACCATATACGTACATAGGTACAGAAGCTATACATAGTCTAACACCCTCCCTCAATCTTAGCCACTTTCTAAAGAACTGAGAAGGGTAAGATTGCGCCTACAAGCCTCAAACTGTGGCAGCGGTAAAGGCTTAGTGAAGATGTCTGCAAGTTGATCCTTAGATGAGATAAACTTGATCTGGAGTTGCTTCTGTGATACACGTTCCCGTACAAAGTGATAGTCAACTTCAATGTGTTTCATTCGGGCATGAAATACTGGATTTGCAGAAAGGTATGTAGCACCGATGTTATCACACCAAAGAATAGGAGGCTGTGGTTGAGACAAACCCAACTCCTGAAGCAAAGACTGCACCCAAATAATCTCTGCAGTAGCATTAGCCACAACCTTGTACTCAGCTTCAGTACTGCTACGTGACACAGTAGCCTGTTTCCGAGCACTCCAGGCGATCAAATTAGAGCCAAAGAATACTGCATAACCCCCCGTGGATCGCCTGTCATCTGGGCTACCAGCCCAATCTGCATCAGAGAAGGCCGAAAGGACCCGAGAGGAAGTCGGCCGAATATGGATACCAAATGTCAGGGTGAACTGAACATAACGAAGAATGCGTTTAATAGCAGCCCAATGAGTATCTCTGGGAGCCTGAAGATACTGACAAACCCTGTTAACAGCATAAGAGATATCTGGTCTCGTGATCGTCAAGTACTGAAGTCCACCAACAATGCTCCTGTACTCTATGGCATCCGCAGGAGACAAAAGCTCACCATCAACAACTGTTATCTTGTCGGTAGACGACATGGGTGTGGTGGTCGGTTTGCACTTCAGCATGCCAGCTCTCTGTAACAACTCCAAGGAGTACTTCTTCTGCGTAAGGACAAGACCAGTAGCACGAGAAGTGACCTCAACTCCAAGAAAGTAGTGAAGCTTCCCAAGATCTTTGACCGCAAAATCAGCACCAAGAGAGCAGACAAGAGCATCAACAGCATACTGAGAAGAGCTGACAAGGATAATATCATCGACATATACCAAAAGATACATAGTGACTTCTGGCTTCTGTAGAAGAAATAACGAAGTGTCAGCAGTAGACGGCACAAACCCATGAGCACGAAGGGCAGAGGCAAGGCGGGCATGCCAGGCACGAGGAGCTTGCTTCAAACCATATAGTGCTTTGGAAAGACGACAGATATAGTCAGGACGATCAGGATCAGAGAAACCAGGCGGCTGTTTCATATAAACCTCTTCCTCCAAAAATCCATGTAGAGAAGCATTCTGCACATCAAGTTGACGAAGTGACCAACCACGAGAAACAGCAATGGAGAGAAGAAGCCGAATAGTGGTAGGCTTGACGACAGGACTGAAGGTGTCCTCATAGTCAAGACCATGACGCTGCCGAAAACCGCGAGCAACAAGTCGCGCTTTGTAACGCTCAATAGATCCATCCGAATGCTTCTTCACTTTGAATACCCATTTTGAGTCAATAACATTTACCCGTGGTGGTGGAGGAACGAGAGTCCATGTCTTGTTATGAAGAAGAGCATGAAACTCCTGCTCCATAGCCTCTCGCCAATGTGGAATGCGCAGGGCAGCCTGATATGAGCGAGGCTCAGAAGATGGATCCGCAACAGCAGCAGCCAAACAAGCAGCCAACCAAGCAACCGTACCATCCTTACGTTCCTTAGGTTTGAAAATGCCACTGCGACTGCGTGTATGTGGTCGGGACACAGGAACCACCGAGGTCGACAGAGCAGCCTGCAACGGGCTGGAGGACGGCGACGTTGACGAGTCAGCCGGTGACGAGGAGCCAGTCACGGTAGCCTCGGACTCGGTTGGCGAAGAAGGCCGACCCACCGGCGAAACCGGCAGAGCAGACGAAGCAGCTGGCGACTCCGGCATCATAGACCGGGCCGATGGCGAGCTCGGCATAGTGGGCCGTGGCGCGGCCGGTGTCGCGGGCCGATCCGCTGATGAAGGCGACGTGAGGACCCGAGCCGCGGGCGAAGACGGCGTGACGGGCCGAGCCGCAGGCGAAGACGGCGTGACGGGCCGAGCCGCGGGCGACTCGACGGCCGCTGGCGAAACGGACCGAGCAGTGGAGATGCTCGGCGCGACGGGCTCGTCGGGTGACCATGCATGGGCACGCGAATCGATGCCATGCAACATAGGGCGATCCACGTGCCCACCAGAAGACGACGATGATGATGGTGAATCCTCCAACAGCTCCAAACGAGCTCCACGTCCGGTTCCTGCACCATGGTTAGGTAACAGCAAAGGAGAGTATGCAACATCATCAAATTGGTCAGAAGCAACAGAGGATGAATGCAGGGATGGTGGTTCGACAGTGGACACAGGAAGGTTGGCAAAGGGAAAAATATGCTCATCAAACACGACGTCCCGAGATATATAGACACAATTAGTGGGAACATGAAGACATTTGTAACCTTTATGAAGAGAGCTATAGCCAAGAAAAACACACTTCTTAGAACGAAACTCAAGCTTGCGCTTGTTATATGGACGAAGATGCGGCCAGCAAGCACACCCAAATACCTTGAGAAAGGTATAATCAGGTTGTTCATTAAGGAGAACCTCAATGGGAGTCTTCATGTTTAAAACACGAGTAGGAGTACGGTTGATGAGAAAGCATGCAGTGGTGAAAGCATCACTCCAAAACCGAAACGGAACAGATGCATGGGCCAAAAGAGTAAGACCAGCTTCAACAATATGACGATGCTTACGTTCGACTGAACCATTCTGCTGATGTGTATGTGGACATGCTAAACGATGAGCTATCCCAAGCGACTGAAAGAAAGAGTTGAGGTTGCGATACTCGCCCCCCCCCAGTCTGACTGGACATGAACAATTTTGTGCTTAAGAAGACGTTCAACATGTTTTTGAAACTGAACAAAAATATCAAACACATCAGATTTGCGTTTAATAAGGTAAAGCCAGGTAAAGCGACTATAAGCATCAACGAAACTGATATAGTAATTATGACCACTGACAGAAGTCTGAGCAGGACCCCATACATCTGAAAACACAAGTTCTAAAGGATGTTTCACCTCACGACTGGACTCCGAAAAAGGAAGTTGATGACTCTTCCCCTGCTGACAAGCATCACACACTGCTACATCTTTATGACTAGACAAACTAGGAAGCTCATGACGACGCAAAAAATGACGGACAATAGGTGTGGCCGGGTGACCAAGACGAGCATGCCACTGTGACGGAGAGACCCGAACTCCACTGAAAACACGAGCGACACCAGGATGCTCCAGATGGTAGAGGCCCTGGCACAATCGCCCACTAAGAAGAATGTCCCTCGTGCCCCGATCCTTAATAAAAAGATCAAAAGGGTGAAATTCACAAAGCACATTATTATCACGTGTGAGTTTAGGAACTGAAAGAAGATTACGGGTCACAGATGGAACTCGAAGAACATTGCGAAGCTGAAGACTCCTATTGGCATGTCTAGTGAGAAGAGATGCTTGACCAATATGAGAGATGTACATACCTGCTCCATTGGCGGTGTGGATCTTGTCGGAGCCATGATAGGGTTCACGAGTGTGAAGCTTCCCCATCTCGCTGGTTAGATGCTCTGTCGCCCCAGAGTCCATGTACCAGTGTGGATCGATGGAGTAGGACTGAGTGTGTCCCTGTTGCTTCTGCGGCGCGGGACGATCAGCCATGGCGACCTGACGGGCATTGTTGCGTGTATCTTTGCCGTCATTGCCAAGACCAAGGAAGCTTCGCTGGAAGCGCTTATGACACTTGGAGGCCCAGTGCCCATCGCGGCCACAAAGCTGACACACACGTGGACCGCCAGCCCCCGGTAAGGTCGCAGTAGGTGGGGGGGGCGAGGCGGGCGACGGTGGCAGCCCCAAGGGAGACCGGGGTGATGAAGAAGAGCGGCCACCCTTGGTGGCGGCGTTGGCCCAGAGGGAGCCAGTGCCCCTGGTGCGGCGAGTCTCGACCCGTTGCTCAGTGAGAAGGAGCCGAGAGAAAACCTCGTGTGCCAGCATGGGTGTCGAGTTGCCCCGCTCGTTGATGATCTCGACTAAGGCATCATACTCCTCATCAAGACCATTGACAATAAACGAGTTGAACTCGGAGTCGGTGAGGGGCTGTCCAATGGAGGCCAATGTGTCGGCGAGGCCCTTGACCTTGTTGTAGAACTCAGTGGCAGTGGAGTCAAGCTTCTGACACTCTCCAAGCTGACGACGGAGTGCAGAGACACGAGCCTGGGACTGCGCTGCAAAGGTACGCTCAAGGATGGTCCAGGCCTCATGAGACGTCTTCGCGAAGACAACAAGGCCGGCAACTGCCGGCGAGAGCGACCCCTGGATGGAGGAGAGGTTCGCCTGGTCCTGCCCCGTCTAGACGCGATGGGCCGGATTGTAGACCGGACCGTGCACGCTGTCTACCAGCGCGGGTGGGCAGGGAAGCGATCCGTCGACGTAGCCTAGCAGGTAGTGACTCCCCAAGAGCGGGAGAACCTGCGCATGCCAGAAGATGTAGTTGTCGGCGGAGAGCTTGATGGTGATGAGATGACCGAAGTGAAACGGCGGCGGCGAAGACAATCCCATCGAGGAGGCTGCCTGGGGTGCAAACACCATGGAGGCAGCCGGAGGCACCGAAGCCGATGCGGGAGGAGGCGGGACCGCAGCCAGGGCGGGCGCCGCAAAGCTCGCGGCCGGTGCAGACGCCGCAAGGCCCGCGGCCGGGGCGGACGCCGCCAACCCCGCCAGCGGGGCAGTGTGATCCGCTTGCGGCAGGAGCGGCGGGACGACGCCTGCGGAGTCCGCAGCGGCCGGCGGCGCCGCGGTGTGGGCCACGAGGTCACGCCCAAGCGAGGGCGCCGGCGGCGTGGAGAAGACGGAGCCGATGCTCCTTGTCCCGATCGGAGCCGGAACAGAGACGTCATCGAGCGGGAGGTTGAGCAGAGCCGCAAGAGAGGCCGGGAGGAAGCCCGCAACAGTGGAACCGGTGGTGGCGGCGCTCGACATGGCGGCGGCGCGATCGGTGGCGCGGCGGCGGCGGTGAAGGCGGCGGCGGCTGCGGCGGCGGTGCGGGTATTAGGGTTTAGAAGCGGAAGCGATCGTAACCTAGCTCTGATACCATGTAAGACAATAAGTTTTGGGGAACCAGCACAACCCTTTAGGGATGGCTTATCTCATTATATATAATGGTTGTGTTACAATATGTACCATATACGTACATAGGTACAGAAGCTATACATAGTCTAACACGGCCGATGAGGACGAGGTGGAGCCCCCTGCGCGCGAGCTCGAGCGCCAGCGCTCGGCCGATGCCGTCGGTGGCGCCGGTGACCACCGCCCACGCGCCGTAGCGCAGGCCCAGGTCCTTCCCCCGCCGGAGGAACGCGCGGTACAGCCACGCGAGGAAGGTCGCGGCGGATACAACAACGGCGTGGAGGCCGAAGGCGAGGAAGACCAGAAACCACAGCGGCGGCGGCGAGCCTGCCCCGCCGGCCGTCGAGACAATCTCTTCCAACTGAGGCATGGACTCGGGTAGCTCGCGAGCAGATCGAAGCACAAGAAAGGAACGAAGATGCAGTACTAAGTAAGTCGTGCTGCCATTAACTACAAGCCCGCAACAGCTAAGCCCCTGCTCGAGTCGGGACACAGATCAGGCAGCCATGAAGCACTAGCTGGGCTTGTACCGACCCGGCTTTGCTATTTTCAGAGCATATCATAGTATTCCCTCCGGAAATATTTATCGGAGGAATAAACATATCTAGATGTATTTTAATTTTAGATATATCTATTTTTATATATTTTTTCGACAAGTATTTCCGGACGGAGGAAGTACGTACGTAGAACCTTTAAATGGCTCGATTGAATGCAAAGGCGCCGTGGTGCCCAGCAGAGCCCACGAAGCGGTTGGGCATTATCGCCGCTGTGGAGAAGTCAGGAATTTTGCATGCATGGATGCTTGTACACTTGTCGAGTCAACAGTGTAATGGAGCTGGCGAGCAGCGGCGACGAGATGAGACGATCCGGCGGATCTATCAACCACCGCGGTCAAAATTTTGAATGACAAATGTACGTTTAGTTGTGGACGAAGGGAGTAGGGATGTAAACCGTTTCCGTTTAATCCTGTTTAAACTCACTTAAGATCTAATAGTTCAATAGTTTGTTTTCTAAGATGAACTACTGAGCTAGCTAAAACTAATTAAACGGTAGTACTTACGAACTCCGTTTATTTGCCATTTACATGCTTATACGAAAGTCTTATGTAAAGTTCCAACTAACCCAACCCCATTCCGGGGTGGCCCCTTCCTCCCTCATCTCCAATCACAAATCGCCACATTGTTCATTACGTATGTGTAGCATTACTTAGCACTAAGCTCTCAAATCCTGAAAACTTCACCAAGCTTAACATGGAGCTTATGGCTGAGAGGACCGTCAAGCAGCCGCCTCCATGAGAAGGGCGAAACCACCGCTCGTACAATAATACTAGACATACGGACCCATTCCAGCCATGCTACAGATTCTCCTTCTAACTGATTGTTATAGAAACAAAAGACAGAAACAGGCAGCCGCCGCCTTCTCCTTAAAAAAAGCTAGGGTTTGTGTCTCTCGCCGGCTCCGCTTAGGTTCGCCTCGTCTCCGGTGGCCCTAGGGCCATGAGGCACGGTGGATCCTGGCAAGGGCCAGCGGGAGGGCTTCGTTGTTAGTCCTTCCTTTCAGATTTGTTAGGGTTTATGTTCTGCTCAGGAAGGTGAGACGGCGGCGTCTCCTTGAAGATGAAATAAATGTCTCACCACCTAGCCACCTTTTCGGTGGCGCGTCTAGCATCGTTGGTGGACTTGTGGAAGTGTGTCTCCCATGGATCTATCCTCGGTGGATTTGCTCGGATCTGGTTGTTGTTCGTCTATGTTCGTGTGTCTTCGGACTGGATCATTTCGATCTACCTTATTCTTCATCGGCGGCTGTTGCTATTCTGATGCGTTGGTCCTATGGGGCCTTAGCACGACGACTTCTCGACTGTCTACTACAACAAGTTGTGTCCAACTCTGGCGAAGGAGGGGCGATAACGGCGGCGCGTGTTCGGCTCGCTTCAGTGCTTGTAGTCGTCACTAGGTGGTCTATGGGTCTGGATGTAATTTTTATTATTTCTGATGTTCATTGTACTCTCATGATTGAAGATGAGATGAGAAGTTTTCTCGCAAAAAAAAATTCTCCTTCTAACTAATCTTTGCACCACCTGAATTTCAGCTTGGATGGACCCCCTTCCTCCCTCAATTTTGAATTCTAATGGTCCACATAAATAGTCCGTTAAACTCATTAGAGAATTTGTTGATGTAGCATTATTCCCGCTTGTACAAGGGCTCTCATGAACGATCCTCTTATCTTATCTCAAACGTTTTCGAAGAACCCATCAAAGTCGTCAAAACTGGTTAACAGTGGAAGGTCATGTATAGTTTGTCCATTGGTGTTCTGATTCACTCGAACCAACGTAAAACTCAAGTTTGTCTTGTCTTGATTCAAGAATGAGGACGCTAAGAGCATCTCCAGCTGTTGGCCTCCCAGGCGACGCTTTTACGCGCCCCCTGGGGGCGAGCCGGCGCTAAATCGGCACGGGGGCCGGTTGGCCGTCCAGCCATCGCCCCAGGTCGCCCCAGGCATCGATATTGGTTCACTTTTTGACCCACTTTCGGCGAATTAAGGGCCCATATGGGCGAGAATAGGCTCATATTCGACGGGGTTCGCCATGGTACGGTGTTGAATTATCAGCATATAAATATTTTTGTATCAGATAGTTCATCACAGAAAATCAAATAGTGCAACAACAAATAGTTCAATACAAATTATATAGTCCAACAAATAAAAACTCATATTTCATCACACGTCGCGCCCGGCGTCGCCCTTGAGCCTCCATAGGTGCTCTATCAGATCCTGCTGCAGTTGATGATGCACCTGTGGGTCTTGGATCTCCTGACGCATACTAAGGTAGGCAGTCCAGGTTGCCGGTAGCTGGTGATCAACTTCGGCTAGAGGGCCTTGCCTGTAGTATGGTTCAGTGTCAAACACAAGGTCTTCTTGATCGTTTTTTATGATCATGTTGTGCAAGATGACACAGCAAGTCATGATCTCCCACATTTGATCTTTCGACCAGGTCTGAGCGAGGTACCGGACAACAGCAAATCGAGATTGGAGCACACCAAATGTCCGCTCGACATCCTTCCTGCAAGCCTCCTGAATCTTCACAAACCAGGCGTTCTTGCCTCCTGGCACAGGGTTTGAGATGGTCTTCACAAATGTCGACCATCTCGGATAGATGTCATCAGCTAGATAGTACCCCTTGTTGTAGTGCCGCCCATTGATCTTGAAGTTCACCGAAGAAGAGTGACCTTCAACAAGCTTGGCAAAGACAGGAGAGCACTGCAGCATGTTGATGTCATTGTGAGTTCCTGGCATACCAAAGAAGGAGTGCCAAATCCAGAGGTCCTGTGTGGCCACCGCCTCAAGTACCACACTGCAACCGCCTTTGGCGCCTTTGTACATCCCCTGCCAAGCAAATGGGCAATTCCTTCATTTCCAATGCATATAGTCGATGCCTCCAAGCATCCCAGGAAATCTTCTTGCTGCATTCTGTGCTAGGATCCAAGCAGTGTCTTCGCATTGGGTGTTCTTAAGTATTTGCGGTCCAAACACTGCCACCACTGCCCGACAGAACTTGTAGAAACACTCTATGCTGGTGGACTCGGCCATGCGCCCATAGTCGTCGAGTGAATCACCGGGAGCTCCGTATGCAAGCATCCTCATCGTTGTCATGCACTTCTGGATCGAGGTGAATCCAAGTTTGCCGGTGCAATCCATCTTGCACTTGAAGTAGTTGTCGAACTCCCGGATGGAATTCACAATCCCGAGGAAGAGCTTTCGGCTCATCCGATAACGGCGCCTGTTGAGGCATATCTCTCTCGATGTGGTTTTGGTGATTGATGGCAACGTGTTTGCGGACTAATTGTGTGCTTTGAGCATTTCAGAGATTCATCCTTGGCACGAGACGATTTCTTCCCCTCGGAGTGTCATTCAAGATGGTGTAGCTCTTTCATTTCTCTTTCTGTGGACTAGTTGCGTAGAGGGCACCGTACTATCAAGAGGGGTCCGCTGTGGTATTGCTTGGGTGGAATCAACACGTACACATCCGCTTCTCACCCTCCGAGCCCTTCCGCTTCGATGGAGAGATCTTTTCTCTGCTTGTGTGTCTTGTCTGGGTCCCAGCGGTAGTACTGTGGTACCCAGCGGTAGTACCGCTGAGGGGTCACAAGCGGCAGTACCGCTCCGCAGCGGTAGTACCGCCGGTGACTCTGCAGCAGTACTATGCTGGCTTGCCAGGTTCCTACCGCCTTGACTCGAGGGCTCTTTTTCTCGTGTCGGGTTTTGCGGCACTAGTTGCGGCAGTAGAGGCGGTAGTACCGCTTCTCAGCGGTAGTACCGCCCTTACCACCGCGGTAGTACCGCTCTAGGTCCAGGTCCCTGCCTCTCTCCTTTGCGCGGCAGTACCGCTAGGTGGAACGGCAGTACCGCTCGCTCAGCGGTAGTACCGCCCTTACCACCACAGTAGTACCGCTTTGCGTCCAGGTCCCTGATTCTCTCCTTTGCGCGGTAGTACCGCTAGGTGGAACGGCAGTACTGCTAGCTCAGCGGTAGTACCGCCCACCCAAGCGGTACTACCACCCTCTGCGGGGCTGTTTAGTGGGGCAATGGTTGGATTGTTGCCCTCACTATAAAAGGGGGTCCCCTTCTTCCCCGTTGACCTATCGCTTCCCCCTCAAGCTCCATTAATGCTCCAAGCTCCATTTTCGTCCGATCTATCTCTCTAGCCAATCAAACTTGTTGATTTGCTTGGGAGTGGTTGAGAAGGCCCCGATCTACACTTCCACCAAGAGATTTTCGATTCCCCCACCTATCCCTAGCGGATCTTTTTACTCTTGGGTGTTTGAGCACCCTAGACGGTTGAGGTCACCACGAAGCCATACTTCATTGTGGTGAAGCTTCGTGGTATTGTTGGGAGCCTCCGATTAAGTTGTGGAGATTGCACCAACCTTGTTTGTAAAGGTCCGGTCACCGCCTTCAAGGGCACCAATAGTGGAATCACGGCATCTCGCATTGTGTGAGGGCGTGAGGAGAATACGGTGGCCCTAGTGGCTTCTTGGGAAGCATTGTGCCTCCACACCGCTCTAACGGAGATGTACTTCCCCTCAAAAGGAAGGAACTTCGGTAACACATCCTCGTCTTCACCGGATCCACTCTTGGTCATCTCTTACCTTTACTTGTGCAAACTCTTTAGTGTTACTTCTCTTGCTTGCTTGCTTGTTTGTTGTTGTTGCATATATAGTTTGCTCACCTAGTTGCACATCTAGACAACCTACTTTGATGCAAAGTTTAATTTGGTAAGAAAAGTTAAAAATTGTTAGTTGCCTATTCACCCCCCCCTCTAGTCAACCATATCGATCCTTTCAGCGCCGAAATATTTTGTCGCCATGAAGTGGA